GGAGTGCACTCGTATTCAATTCTGTATGGTAAATTCAGTTTTAACGGAGCAGAGCGAGCTGACAGGCAGAGTTAGAGACTTTTTCTGTCTGTTTCTCTCTTTACAAAGACGCATGTTGCAGTCAGAGTCTTCTCTGAAGAGGGCAATGAAGTCTCAGTAGTACCGATGCGAGCACCACATACAACACAATTTATCAAATTACACAACGGATATACAGTATGAAAATAAGATTGATTGGATTATACTCACAGGAAGTATAAAACCTGTTACATGCGTAACACAGTAATGTCAGGGAAATTACTTTACTTAGATTTAAGTACTGCAGTTGTACATTTGAAATACCTTCCTACCTTTCTGATAGGAAGCCTTCTTGAGGTGGTATAAAACATTTCTTCTTATATTCTGATTTGAGTTGTGGACAACTATGACCACATGAATTAAAAAAATTAAACATTTCACTGCCCAAGTCAGCTATAACACAAGTCTTGTTCATTAGACTACATGCTGTACAGTATTTGTGGACAGATTTTGTCCCAGGATTTATTATGCATTTCTTCTTCTTCGTTGCATGGTTTAGAATAATAAGGTGAGAAATGGGTCTATTCTGAGTTCATCCTGCACTGCAGCAGCTAAAAAGTCCATTTAATCCCAAAACGCTTTTCTTTTAGGCAGGCTGGAGCAGAAACACAGTAACAATCAAATGTGTGCTGTTCTCACATTTCCTCTGTATGTACACATAAACAACAAGGCAGGGAAATAAAAGGAATTTATTTTATTGTTTGGGTACATTATTGTTCAGTGTACATGTCACATCTGAAACAAACTTTACGTGCTTGATAACTCTCCCACCCGCAGACATCTACACGCCAATACCGATTTATATTCATAGCGGCAAGTGCTATGTAGCTCCACATAGGGGACACAGGAAGTGACATATAGCACTTCATGCGGCGTCGGAACCGCGTAGGAAATTCACAGCCGCACCGGCAGAGCTCCAGAATATGCAACTCGGCCGGCTCACGCGCAGACGCGCTTACAAGTGCGAGGGCCCGCCCAACGCTGCTTGCAGCTTTAATTTTTATTTTTTTTTTTTTTCTGCAAAGTAGGCCCAAATGACATGGCCTAAACATACTCGAAAACTCACCAAAATTTGCAAACATGTCAGAACCGGTGAAAAATTTCGTATTCTACAAGTTTCGCACATGGGCGTGGCAAAATGACTCGCTAGCGCCACCTAGAAAATTGGAAATGATTAGCCCCTCGTTCACGTTCAACCTACATGTACGAAATTTTCTGGGGACATGTATCGTATCAAGACGCACAAAAAAGCCTCAAGAACCCATAGCCTAAAGTCAACAGGAAGTCGGCCATTTTGAATTTTACGGCCATTTTTGGATGATTTACACACTTCGTACTTTAACGAACTCCTCCTAGGGATTTAGTCGGATCGACGTCAAATTTCTGCTGTGCCTTCTAAAGGCATTGACGATGAAAAGTTGTGCTATTTGCGCGTTTTCGTCAATGGGCGTGTCCGTGGCGTCGATGATTCGCAATGAAACAGGAAGTTGTAACTTCAGTGTACATGCTCACATCTGGACCAAACTGTACATGTAGGATGAGAGTCCCGCCCTGAACACATGTACATGCCGACATTCACCCACAGTCATAGCGCCACCTGCTGGCAACAGAAAGTGACCTTTAACGAAGCAGCCCCCGCCGCACGTTTCACCTACGTGCACGAATTTTCTGTGGTACGTGTATCTTGTCCAGACGCACAAAAAAGTCTCTTGGAGCCATAGCCTAAACCCAACAGGAAGTCGGCCATTTTGAATTTTACGTCAAATTTTGGATGATTTACACACTTCGTACTTTAACGAACTCCTCCTAGGGATTTAGTCCGACCGACCTCAAATTTGTGCTGTGCCTTCTAAAGGCATTGAAGATGAAAAGTTGTGCTATTTGCAAGTTTTCGTCAATGGGCGTGTCCGTGGCGTGGCGTCAAAGATCAGCTCTTCGCCATGACACGGAAGTTGTCGTAACTTCAGTGTACATGCTCACATCTGGACCAAACTGTACATGTAGGATGAGAGTCCCGCCCTGAACACATGTACATGCTGACATTCACCCACAGTCATAGCGCCACCTGCTGGCAACAGGAAGTGACTTTTAACGAAGCAGCCCCCGCCGCACGTTTCACCTACGTGCACGAATTTTCTGTGGTACGTGTATCTTGTCCAGACGCACAAAAAAGCCTCTTGGAGCGATGCCCTAAAATCAACAGGAAGTCGGCCATTTTGAATTTTACGTCAAATTTTGGATGATTTACACACTTCGTACTTTAACGAACTCCTCCTAGGGATTTAGTCCGACCGACCTCAAATTTGTGCTGTGCCTTCTAAAGGCATTGAAGATGAAAAGTTGTGCTATTTGCAAGTTTTCGTCAATGGGCGTGTCCGTGGCGTGGCGTCAAAGATCAACTCTTCGCCATGACACGGAAGTTGTCGTAACTTCAGTGTACATGCTCACATCTGGACCAAACTGTACATGTAGGATGAGAGTCCCGCCCTGAACACATGTACATGCTGACATTCACAGACAGTCATAGCGCCACCTGCTGGCAACAGGAAGTGACTTTTAACGAAGCAGCCCCCGCCGCACGTTTTACCTACGTGCACGAATTTTCTGTGGTACGTGTATCTTGTCCAGACGCACAAAAAAGCCTCTTGGAGCGATGCCCTAAAATCAACAGGAAGTCGGCCATTTTGAATTTTACGTCAAATTTTGGATGATTTACACACTTCGTACTTTAACGAACTCCTCCTAGGGATTTAGTCCGACCGACTTCAAATTTGTGCTGTGCCTTCTAAAGGCATTGAAGATGAAAAGTTGTGCTATTTGCGAGTTTTCGTCAATGGGTGTGTCCGTGGCGTGGCGTCAGAGATCAAGTCTTCGCCATGACACAGGAAGTTGTTGTAACTTCAGTGTACATGCTCACATCTGAACCAAACTTTACGTGCTTGATAACTCTCCCACCCCGCTATGGAGGACCGATCCTGACACAGTCAGAAATAAATACAGAAATAAATAAATGCTCAATAAATAAATAAGCATCCAATTAAATACACAAAAAATAAAGTAAATAAATAAATGTAGGTAGTAATTAAATTATACAAGGAGACATAAATGTTATATTTTAATTAGTGCCTTTACTTATTCACCTTTGTTATAATTACCTTATTTGTTTATTCAACTTTATTTATTACTAATTTTTTTAATGTATTTATTTATGTGTGTTTTAATATTTTTGTCTGTTTTATTCTTCCTTTGTATTTATTTACCTTATTTATTTTCACCCATGGTATTTATTTCTGCCTGTCTTTTTAAATTTTTGTATGCATTTCTGCCTCATTATGCAAATGAGGAGGGGCTGTGTCTCAAGGGGTCATCTTCTCTGCTATTGGTGGACCAGTCAGACAGGAGAGCTCCTACTCTGCCTGCAGACATCAACGATCTTGCCCCTCACACAGTCAGATGGCTTCCTTCAGTGCGCTGAGGTGTTTAACAACTCTGAAGACAATACTACCAGCAATGTCTTCCTTCTCTTTTCACGTAGACGCTCCGACAGACAGTGCTTTCAGTTTGCTGCATGCATGGACACAGAACTGCGGTATAGGGAGAAGCACACGGTCAGCTGGCTGCAGCTAAATCTGGAGTGCACTCGTATTCAATTCTGTATGGTAAATTCAGTTTTAACGGAGCAGAGCGAGCTGACAGGCAGAGTTAGAGACTTTTTCTGTCTGTTTCTCTCTTTACAAAGACGCATGTTGCAGTCAGAGTCTTCTCTGAGATGCGAGCACGACATACAACACAATTTATCAAATTACACAACGGATATACAGTATGAAAATAAGATTGATTGGATTATACTCACAGGAAGTATAAAACCTCTTACATGGGTCTATTAAAAGTAAAGTAACACAAAAATGTCAGGGAAATTACTTTACTTAGATTTAAGTACTGCAGTTGTACATTTGAAATACCTTCCTACCTTTCTGATAGGAAGCCTTCTTGAGGTGGTATAAAACATTTCTTCTTATATTCTGATTTGAGTTGTGGACAACTATGACCACATGAATTAAAAAAATTAAACATTTCACTGCCCAAGTCAGCTATAACACAAGTCTTGTTCATCAGACTACATGCTGTGGACAGATTTTGTCCCAGGATTTATTATGCATTTCTTCTTCTTCGTTGCATGATTTAGAATAATAAGGTGAGAAATGGGTCTATTCTGAGTTCATCCTGCACTGCAGCAGCTAATAAAGTCCATTTAATCCCAAAAACGCTTTTCTTTTAGGCAGGCTGGAGCAGAAAACAACTCACCTTTCTCAAGTTGTACAGTAATGTCACATGTGTATGAAGGTGGATCAAACCAGCTAATCTTAAATGTCAAAGTAGAGAGGAGCCTAGTAGGCCTATTTATTTTCATTCATTACACAATATGAATAAGCTATGCAGACAGTTGTAAAGAAAGAACATCTTTTTCTTCTGTTCTCTACTTGTTATAGTTACACAGTATTAGGGGTGTGGGCTGTATTAAAAGTATCCACTGTTCTCACATGCTCTAACACACAGTAACGATGAAATGTGTGCTGTTCTCACATTCTTCCTCTGTATGTACACATAAACAACAAGGCAGGGAAATATAAAAGGAATTTATTTTATTGTTTGGGTACATTATTGTTCAGTGTACATGCTCACATCTGAAACAAACTTTACGTGCTTGATAACTCTCCCACCCCGCAGACATCTACACGTCAATACCGATTTATATTCATAGCGGCAAGTGCTATGTAGCTCCACATAAGGGACACAGGAAGTGACATATAACACCTTCATGCGGCGTCGGAACCGCGTAGGAAATTCACAGCCGCACCGGCAGAGCTCCAGAATATGCAACTCGGCCGGCTCACACGCGGACGCGCTTATAAGTGCGAGGGCCCGCCCAACGCTGCTTGCAGCTTTAATTTTTTATTTACTTCCCTTACACATTACTGTTGGCTGCAAAAACATCTGACATAACCTGTTTTTAATATTCCAGTCATTTACAAGGCAGCGTGTATTTCAGTAAGTATGAGCAGTCCAGATGCATTAAAGATCACGTTCCTATGTTAAGTAACATTTAGAAGATTGTTTGATGAAAATCTTGAAATGGAAAACACTGGTTAAAAACTCTTCCAGAGTCAGTGGCTTCTCTCTTCCCTGCAGTGAAGTCGTGGGCCAAGACACACCTGATTCTGATCTACAATCACACGCCGTGCATCCACCTATCTTCAGCCATGTTATAGGAGAGGCCAAAAACCCAATCCCCTCTGGATTATTGAGTGATCTCGTGAACTTGTTGTTGAAAACTCTGATTTTTTGATTACCTGCCTGTTTGCCTGCTTTGCTCTCTCCAACAGACTTTTCTTTTTGCCGCTGCCTTTTAATAAATCAAATGTATGTAATGCTTTGCATTAATAGTTTACACTGCACTTTCACTTTTATTCTTTTTATCTTGTTTGTGTTTTCTGTTTAACTCTTTAAAATTGTATTAAGTGTTTTTTATATTACCCGATGTTGCTTTTGTGTTTTTTGTAAAGGATTTTCAATTGCATGGTTGAAATGTGTTATACAAAGAACCTTGACTTACCTTTCTCTAATACTTTTGAAAAAAAGATGCTTTGCTGCTAATTGTGTTATAGGACTGAAAGAAGAACGAAGTCAAGTCATGTCATGAAAAATTTCTTTGTGCCCTTCCTTCTTTGCACCTGCAGGTTTACAGTAAGCAGATCACCTTTATCTTTAATCTCAGCAGTAATGTGCCTAGATACCAACAATAACTCCCTTATTCATAAAGCAACCTGTATTTGGCTCATAAATTATGAAATTATGTGAGTCGGAGCAGTCCAGGCGCCATAAAAAAAAAAAAAAGTTTCCATGTTCACAAATACAAACGTTTGAGGGGGTTTGGTCCGTCTGGGAAATCAAAAATAAATTTAAACCTGTATTCCCTTCGTTTCTGTCTGAGTTCTGTTTTTGATTGTTTTTTTATTTTTTGACACAGGTTTTGTCTAAAAACAAATAACAATAATAAAACATGATACATTTTTTTGGTTTTTAAATTACAACTGAATTATGGTTTATTATTATCCATCTATACCCACACCACAAACACCTGTAAAAGTCATGGTTTGATTCATATTGCATTTTATTTACTTATTGCACTGTAGATCTATCTACAATAATTTTAATGAAAAATATTAAAATCTCAGTATAATACGTCTGTAAACAAATTGCTCTTTAGATTAACTATAACTGACACTAAAGAATATATTGTAGACTGTACAAGTCATATTGAGTTCAGTGTTAAACATAATGTAACCACTGAGAAACCTACATTCAGCTGTTGCAGATAAAAGTGCTATGAAATACATTCTGATGTCACAATAAAGAGAGTAGTTACGCCATCTTGTGGTGCATCAACGCAACACGACCTGTATATATTGCGCAGAATGTAAAATAATGTGATGTTTTACCATCAGTTATGTCCAAAGTTACTCTGTGCCCTGTTTTGCAGGTATTTCTGGAAGCTCCTCCCATAATTTCCCCAATTCTGCTGGCCAGCCTTTAAAAGCCCTGTCTAGCTCCACCCACACTCTCTCTCACACACTGCAGCCGGGAGCCGCAGCAGCCACCATGGTTCTTTGTCTGTTTAACTTTGTTTGCAATAGACCTTATTTTGGTCATAATAGACGTTTGTGACTCCTCTGTTGCCTCCCTTGAGCCAGGGTCGTAACACCATCTTATTTATAACCTTTTTTTTTTACCCACATTGTGAATGAATCCCAATATGATTTGTTTTGCATATCTTATAGCCTATAATAAACCTTCAGTCAACCTTCAATCAAAAGTCTGATTGTCTTTTAATATGCTGTTCTTTCTGAAAGGTAGCACCCCATTTCTTTTTTATAAACCAATCTGGTCCTTACTTGCATGACCCATGGCATAAACCGATCTTTATTTCATAGTCTGTAACACTTTTCTCAGTAAGCGCGGAACAATGCAGCCCTCAGACCTTGAGACTTGTCTTATTCTAGCTGTAGAGAAGGAGAAAACGATATTTGTTGTTGTTTTGTCTTTCATCAAGCTTGGCTTCTGCTTCAGGATTGCAGATTGTGAATAAAGGTTTGGTGATGACTCTGATCAGTGGGCTATAGTTTTACTCTTAAGTTTAGATACCCTGCTCTACTCAGACAGAAATACAAATTTGACAGTTTTGTTGTATACTTTTATAGTTTACAACCTTCTGTTACATAATGGATCATTGCAGTCATGATCACTCTGGTGGTTGCTACACAGGTTATGAAACATGATGAGCTTCAGCAACAGGAAAGTTTTCAAAAAAGAAAGGAATTGAATGTAAGTAAACAAAGCAAAGTTAAGCAACTGTTTCATAACTGACCAGCCATAGAACTTTTGATGTGTAATTGTAGCATTTGAATGAGGAATGATCATGATAGGATAGGACTACACAGGTCAATCAAGATACTTGTTTTACCATACATCAAACTGTAATACTTAATAGTAGAAGCAGTTGTAAAGCTACATGGGATCCCACAATGGTAACCAGCACAAGCGAACCAGCAGCTGCAGTACAAGTTGATCATCCTCATTGTTGTTTAATATTAATCTTTCTGTCTGGTTTCCTATTCTGCACATGCTGCTGTCTTAATTTACAAACGTAGGCAAAGGCTGGTATTTGGCCCTTGACATTTTGGCTTTGAACATGGCCAATGCACAGATCATGGCAACAGCTGCAAGAAGACAACCAGCAATGAAGACCAGGTTCAGATCCAGGCTAATCACTGGAAGAAAGAGAAGCACAATTTGAATTAGATCTTGTCCAAAGTCTAACTGGCACTCAAACAATGTGCACATGTGCTGTTATAACCCCCCCTGTTCTTTACCTGGGCTTCCGGTGCTCTCTGCTGATCTCGTTAAGCGCAGGGGACCCTGGGAAACAAAGTGCCTTAAACTCTGGGTGACCGCCTCTCTCTTTCCGTGGTTATGGTGGTGACCAACTCGAGATGTGGAGTTGATGCATCCCTTCGAGCACCTGGTGTGGGGGTCCCCTGCTTCACACATCAGGACTGAACAGCTGATGTAAACCTGAATACAACAGGACACATTGTGTCAGCAGACCTACCGTTGTGTTTTCCAGTGGACAAATGGCAGAGTTGCAGTCAGATCCCACATACAAGATCAAACCTCTGCTTTCTTGTACATGCTAGTCAGTGCAGCTCTACCAAATCCTCGATTCCATCTGTGTTCATATTTAACTTGGGAAACAAAAATAGGTTGAATTCCAGTATTCTTTCTGCATTTATTGCAGGATATCCATTTAAAAAGCCGCTGTTGTGTTTGTGTGTGAGAGAGAGAAAGAGGAGGTGCTGAGTGAAATACAAGTTTACCCATTTTAAGTAGTGTAAAAAGAATCAATAACCTGAGTCGATCCTCAAACAACAGAGGCAATTGTCACATAAAAAATATTTAGAAAATATCCTTAAAATGAGACAAAAAATACATGTCTGAAATTGTCAAACACAAATATGGAATTGGGTCCCTATTTTGATTGGCTGTAGTATAATGATGTGTTGTTTCACATTATACGTGTGATGTCTAATGAAGGTCCATGACGGAAACATTGTGCCTCTAATAAAGTTAGTGCTGACTGTCTGCAGGAATTCAAACTTTTTTTTTTGCATCATGGCCTATTCCCATGCACCTGACCAAGAGTGGAATCAAATTGGACCTATTCATTAAAGCATTTAGACATATTACAGAGACATTTGCAGGGATAGTCATTCTTCACCTGGTCATGCAAGCCGATGAACCTGAAGGCCTCCATGCTGAACTGGAATTGTCTCTTGTTGGTGGAGGAATGGATTTCAACAGATGAGTCCACTTTACACCTAGTAAAGAAAAACAAAAACAACATAAGCCTTACAATAGGTGCCATTAAAGAAATATTATTTTATTTATGGTTTTTACATGATAAGAAAACAGAGTATAGTTTATGCTGAAGATGGTTAAGCGAAGCTTAGCTTGAGTTTTACATCCTGATATGGTCATATTGTATAGGTGAGCCTCTAAGGTAAAAAAAAACTTCCACTCAGGTGGAAGATAGAGAGACATTTAATATACATCTATCCCTCCAGTGTCTACAAATGGGTAAACAAATGGACAACGTCAACCATTTCAATTCACTCTCCTTCATATCTATGAGCAATTTAGTTACAAACCTCATTTACAAGCAAAAAGCAAATCTTTACAAATACTATTATGTCCTCTGTTGGCAGTAGGGGCTGAACTCACCCATTTTCAATGATGGAGTAGGTTGGCCGGTAGTTTGGGTTGTCATATGGTGCAGCGCTGCAGGACTCCACAAACAGCTCGGTGTTGTTGGCTGAAGAGGTGGCATCTATCTGCATGTAGATCCTGCTCCCTACGTCGTACTCCAGAGGGTATGAATTTGGATCAATCATGGTTTGGAATTGGTTATCAGGAAAGAACTCAAACTGGTAAGTGAAAGTACCAAAGCCTTTCTCCCACACTGTGATACTTTTCCTGTGTGCTGTGTAGCCAAGTGTCACGTTCCCCCGTTTGGGGTACTGGCAGTAGAACTGAACTTCCAGCAGGTGTTTCCTGGTGATCAGGTCTTCTGTGTTGTCGACCGCGGTGATTTCATTCTTAAAAATGAGGTTGTCATCATCTTCCTGTGGAGGAAAAGGTTATGGATTCAGTCCTCACACTGCTAATGAAAAGGAAAATCTACACCAGTAACTGAGAGAAGAGCACAGTGGGCAATAAAACTAATCACCCTGCCTCACCTCGATCTGAGTGCCGCAAGCATTGAGGGGGATGACAGCGATGATGTGAGTGCTGTTGGAGTGTGTGCGGAGGCTGCAGACGGTGTTGGTGGGGTCACTGAGCCGCAAATGATCCTCATTGAGTCCAGAGAATGAAGATTTCTCAACCTCTACTGTCATTGTGGACTGACTGCAGATCACATTGGCTACAACTAGAGCAAAACATATATATTTAAATGATTTACTAAATACTTTGCTCAAAACTGTGTATTTCTTATAAAAACTATTGTGATAAAACCTGCATTAATATCAGCATTGTGTTTTTAAGTATTTCTGCCCTCTACTGGTCAAAAATTGCTAAATGCAGCTTTAAAGGTTCCCTGTAAAATCTCTAGTAGCGCTATAGAGTTCTTTCTGGGACGAGATGACTTGCACCTATACACGTGCATTCACACGGGTGTGGTGATACTGTTACACTATTGCACTGATCTACAAGCGGCAGTAATGGACCAAACATGCAGCAATGCGCCGACAAAGACAGAAAAAAGATTGCTAGCTAGTAAATATGGATGTAAAAAAGATTTTAAATACTTTAAAAATGGGCTTTGCAAATGTTTTATGAGGAATGAAATGCACTAGCTTACATTATATTTGGTGAAAACACACACCATCACATTCTGCGCTACAAAAAGTTTCCCCATGTATCATCAGCTTCAGACTCACCTTGCGTCGCCACAATGTCCACCAGAACACACCTCATCTCAGACTGATAGATGTCAGCCCTGAAAGGCATCAGTGAACACGGACTTAACACTTTTAACTCATTCAATTAAGCTGATATGTCATTGTGAAAATCAAAATTGTTTTGAATCCAAATTACAGTCAAAAACGAAGTCTATTTTCCTAGCCCTCCCAGCAGTCTCGAAAAAAAGACTGAAAAGTGTGTAGAAAGATAAATTAAGGTATCCACACACATACTAATTCTGTCATAAAGGAAATGAACCCAAGGCTCACCCTGTCACTGACTCAACAGCAAAGCAGATGGGGTAATGAGCTCCCAGGTCATCTGGAGTTGGCGTCCACCTAATGACAAACTCATCATGTGTGGTCCTGTGCTTTTGGATATTCAGTGGCCCACTGATGATGATATCACGTATTCTGTATGAAAACAAAACAGAAACCAGAGATTTCCTCGTTACTGCTGGGTTTATCTACCTTGTTGAAATCATGAGAATGTTATCCTGCCACACTGATCACGCTGGTTCTCACTTACGTTGCATATGCAGCTTGTGCTTTGACTCTGATCTCCACCTCTTTGTTGACCTCTGCTTGGATGTGTGCTCCATTTTCAGGTGTTGGGTTCACAAACTTTGGCAAGAAGAGTCCCTCCTGACATGAAGGAGCAGGTGGGTCCACTGGAGTATAAAAAAGATAAATAAACTATCAATACCTGCCACTGGATCAGAACTTTTAACCTTTTGCACTCTGGCCACACCTATGCATCCAGAGATGTCACACCAAGTGTTGACTAAACTGACGCCACTAAACAAGTATGTTCATTCCTAACCTCAGTTTAATTTGTGGCAGTGTGTGGTGAAATAGAAGGACAACCACATGTAATGATCAAAACATTGTCAGAAGTTGATGAATTGTTTACAGGCTAAATAAAGCTTTTGAAACCCCATTGGATCAAATGTGGGAAAAACAGGACAGTTTTATTCATTCATGAAGAGCTGATTTTTTGAAAAACTTCATTTTCACATTTTCACAGGACAGATCTTCATGGTGGGTTCTGGACTTTTTGGGGGTGCCTGGATGCCTGTATTTCAATCCGGCCATGTGTAATGTCACAAATGAAGGTGTGGCTAGAGGTCCTGCATGAGGTTTCAACCCAGTGAGGCTGTGAAGCTGCACGTTTTGCTCAATGTGATTGAGGCTCACTAAAATGTGTAGAAAAACCCAACTTACCAAGTACAGAGAATTGCAATGGTAGTTTACTGAGAGGAGGAGTGGTGGAGTACAGGTGTGTCCTGCTGCTAGTGTGTCGCGGAGTGGTAGTTGCTTCAGTGGTTGGGGTTGTTGTGGAAAAAAACCACCACCATGGGTCATAGGTCGGTTCTGCCGTTGTAATTTGTCCTGTGGTTGTAGTGGTTGGGGTTGTTGTGGGAAAAAACCACCACCATGGGTCATAGGTCGGTTCTGCTGTTGTAATTTGTCCTGTGGTTACTTCAGTGGTTGTGGTTGGGGTTGTTGTGGAAAAAAACCACCACCATGGGTCATCGGTCGGTTCTGCCGTTGTAATTTGTCCTGTGGTTACTTCAGTGGTTGGGGTTGGGGTTGTTGTGGGAAAAAACCACCACCATGGGTCATAGGTCGGTTCTGCCGTTGTAATTTGTCCTGTGGTTGTAGTGGTTGGGGTTGTTGTTGAAACAAACCACCACCATGGGTCATAGGTCGGTTCTGCTGTTGTAATTTGTCCTGTGGTTACTTCAGTGGTTGGGGTTGGGTTGTTGTGAAAAACCACCACCATGGGTCATAGGTCGGTTCTGCTGTTGTAATTTGTCCTGTGGTTACTTCAGTGGTTGGGGTTGTGGTTGTTGTGGGAAAAAACCACCACCATGGGTCATAGGTCGGTTCTGCTGTTGTAATTTGTCCTGTGGTTGTAGTGGTTGGGGTTGTGGTTGGGGTTGTTGTTGAAAAAAACCACCACCATGGGTCATAGGTCGGTTCTGCTGTTGTAGGGATTGTGGTTGGTGCTGCGGTTGTAGCTTGTCTCTTTCTCAGTGGATCCCTGGAGGATCTGGATCCATCAGTGTAGGCCAGAGAGATGCGCCCTTGTGGGAAGTCCTCCACCACCAACTCAAATCCATACGCTCTGGTGTTGACATAAGAGTATCGGTAGTGTAATGTGCAAGAGCCCTGACAATGTGAACATTTAGTAGTTAAGGGAGGCAAAGCATCAATCCAGTGTTGTACAAGGTATTGGGAAATTGATTTTTCAACAAACCTGATCCAAGGCGAAGCCTGAAGGTTGGTTGCACGAGCTGCACTCAGTACCTATGATATTTCCATATCTGCATTGAACTTTGTCACCATCAGGATCAAAGGACATCAGCTTGTATGTCCGTGGGCAGTTCTGAGGAACTCTTGAACAGACACATTAACACAAGTTAGTAACAGTCTACGGAAAAGGATCAAATTAGCAGAATTATAAACAGCACGCTTGCATAGGGAAATATAAAAAAGGCAAATGAAAAATGTAACACAAAGTCAGTTACATGGTGGTAAAGTTTTAAAACATGGAATATGCAGAATCACAAAGATTTCTTCTGTCATTCATAAGGAAAGACAAAAAAATTTTTTTTTAGTTTGGTCAAAAAAATCTTACAGGTAAAAAATAAACACATTGTGAAGCATGTTGTATTGCCAGATTCTCTTTGTTTTCATTCATAGCAAGAGGGTTTGAGTTTTTCAACCTAAAAGCAGACGCTGACTAAAGAGGCCTCCAACCCCAAACCCAAAGTAGGTGGGGGTTGAACACGTTCTGCTACATCAAAGCCTGAGTTTACCTGAGTGCTGTTGTGAAAGAAGCACACAGACCAACCGAACCTCCAGTGAATTTAAAGTGACTTGCTTTACCATTAAGACTATAAAAGTGCCAGCTTTAACACTTTCCAAGCAAAACCTGAATGTAACCCTCATATGAACTGAAGATTTGACAAAACCTTTGGATTGACAAAACCACTTTGGGAGGGGTTGGAAGCATAAACTGTCTCCAAGATGGGTCTTCCAAACACACACATGCAAAATGCTGTCCTCCCTTCTCAGTTCACATGAAATTGATAGCTGATAAGATCAGCATACGTGACTATAAAACTCTGCAGGCATTTTGGTTCTATCCTCCCGCAGTTTTAAAAATCAACCTGCAAATGTGAAAAGTTATCCATCAGTTGTCAGTGTCTTGCCTTGTTTACTGTTTTAATCTGAAGTTGTCCGCGTTTGCTGTCTGTGTCTAGTTTTGCTTCCTATTCTGTTTCTTCCTGGATGTGATCAACCTGTTTTATGTATAGGATTTAATTCCTGTGTTCTGTTCAGTCTGTGCTGGACCATTGTGGTGTCACGCCCTGTCATGCCTGCGTCTGCCTAATCTCTGCCTGTACAGCTACTAGTTTTTGGCTCAGGGTCAGGGTTTTTGTGGAGTTAGAGCCATCCCTGCCTGGTTTATTGTTTGCTCTTGGTTTGCTTTTGGATTTCTGTTGGACTGTTAGTTTGGGTTTTCTTGGATCAGCATTTCCACAGTAAGCTGTGTGCTTTATGTTTGTGTCTCAAATGAATCATGAAAGACTGGACCTTCTGAGTCTGCTTCTTGGCCCGCAAGCAGTTTTTGCCTGAACACACTACACAGCCTGAATTGTTTAAACACAATTTCTAATAATACTAACAGATGAATAAGCAGCCTAACTAAATATAAAATACACCATCTGATGTTACATTTTTGACTCATTAAAATTTATAACATTAATCCGTTCTCTTATCATTTGAGAACCATAATCATATTCATATTCACAAAAGCCAAAAAAGACTTTTAATGGAACCTGTTTTAATCTTGTTCCAACTTCCGTTTCTTGCATTTTGTTGTTGCCATATAATCATTGTTGTTTTGTCTTATTTATATCCTTATTTACACTTCACTTGTCTTCACCTTAGTTAGTAACTAAATATTTCAATCTAAACACAGGTACAATGTGTGCACTGATTGATAACCCAGGTCTCTGCACAGAGAATTCATCTCCAGATTATAAGACTGATTAATGGTTAATAGCTAATTGTGTTCATTATAAAACTATACCCATGGTTCATAGCCCCTTGGGAAAAGGATTATGCCAGGTGGTGACCCAATATCAAACAAGTTCCAAAGATATTAACAAAGTGTAGATTCACTACAATGTGGCTCTACCTAACAGAGAAATAGTGCAAATGTATTTACTTTTTTCTGCTTTTTCAGAGCTCCAGCCTTAATGCTCAATGAAAATGATGAGTTTAAATCCACAAATTTTTGATTAGTGACATGATTATAGCATATTCCAGATTATGGCTTGGTATGAATGATGACATGTTTTTGTTTGTAAACATAGTGTGGAATACAATCAAGTAAAAATGTGTTATTTCTTTGTCTTTTTCTTCTACATATCCATTTATTTCTTTTGTGTGAGTTATTTCTTAAAATGAAAATAGAGCACTGTCTTATTTATTGTAAAATATTGCTGATTTATTCTGTTGATAAAAAATGTTGCTTTCAGCCTAATTCCAGTATTTCTGGACAGGCACAGCTATCTGGCTGCCACTGTGGAGGTATTTCTCTACTGCTGATGGGCAAAGTAGGACATTTCCCACAGGTTCTTTAACAAAGTCATTAGAAGTTATCTTGTTTAATGATAACAGCAGGGGACTCACCGTAGAAAAGGGAGAATGGCAACTTCTGGTGATTGGTTTGGTTTTCCAGTGTCAGATCTTGTTCCCAAATCCACATAAGTCATAAGTCTCAAATTACGAACCCAGTTTCGCGTTGGGATCCAACAACAGCTTGCAGCGCTGGTGTGATGGAAACAACACTCTTGAAATACAATATCTAATAAGCAGAACCACAGCAAATACAACTGAAGTTTTAGCAGGATAAATATTATATAAATATTACAGCAATATAGCAAAAAATTGAAGATTTTTTATGTGTTCAGTTTTTATATGCACATGAGGTATTTTCTCATTAAATATGTGCTGAGTTGCATATCACACAAATCCATATTCCAGCACATTGCAAAGACTCAGATTAAATTTTCTGGTTTTATTGTGATAATATACCGAAAGGCCAGACATTTACAGAACAGTTTATCAAAATATTGTTTTTTCATGGATTTATTGAAAAGATGTCACTCATGTTGGACCCTTTTTTCCCACAATTTTACAGATAAAATGCCTCAAAATGAGAACGATCAAAGATATTTAAAAAAACCTCCGTGCTATAAGGCCAAAGAAACGGTGTGTAAACGTATGATGCTCCAACTGCTTTGAAGGGCCAGGAATGTGTATTGGCGTACAGGAAACATGTCATTTTCAGAAACAGAAACATACTTAGCATAAAAATTACTGTTTGTCATATAAACACATCTCTTACAGATATAAACACTAGCTAACATTGTGCTCTAGAAAACAAGCTTTCAAATGATATATGATTCAACATGGAGAGTTTGCAGGATCTGAAGTTGATGAACTTGGTGGGTGTGTGTGTGTGTGGGTGTGTGTGTGTGTGTGTGTGTGTGTGTGTGTGTGTGTATATGTATATAATATATTTATGGCATGCTGTTTAGGAAATAATATATATATATATGAAGTTTGTCCATCTGAATATATGGAATGAACCTTGAATATATTGAATGAAAGTCTGAATATAGTGAATGAAATCTGACGTCATTGATGTGAAGTGTGACACTGTTAGTGAATCAGCAAGAAAGTGTCCAACGTCCGCAATTTTGAGCAATGAAGAGATTATAAAAACACTGGCAAAATATTGGAAACCACATCCAGTGCCGTTCTCCTGATCTAGAAATGTATTCTCTATTATCGTGGAAGATCAAATGCAGGAACCCTCCCAGGCCAGGCAGTTGCCGTTTATCAGGCAAACTGAAATACGCCTTTAACCTCACAGGTGCCCCCCACAACAACCCCTAGATACAATCTTCGTATGTCCACCCAAAAGGGCTCAGGCAGTAACTTTTTAAAGGGTAAGATCCTGTGTTTAACCAGAAATAGCTGTTATATCGCTCTCTTCAAAGCCACCAAACTCCACTGACAAAAAATGTTACCGCTGCCAGGTTATTTTTTTCTGTGACTTCGGTGTTTAAAAGATTAGTTCGGATGCGAACTAACTTAAGCTGTTGTGGGGGCACGTGTGAGGTTGAAGGCTTGTTTTCCTGATAAACGGGAACTGCCTGGCCTGGGAGGTTTTCTGCATTCGGTCTTCCACGATTAAAGAGAATGAATTATTTCATCAGGAGAACTACTGGATATGGTTCCCAGTATTATGGCGTGTACATGCATTTGCTAGTGTGTTTGATATCTCTTCAATGCTCCAAATAGCTGACACTAGATTTAGACTTATTCGCTCATAGTGTCACAATTACATCCATACAAATTAATCACATCAACACAAGATGGCACCAGTGCCTTAATGATGTCAGATGATGATTTCATTCCATATATTCAGACTTTCATTAAATATATTCAGACTTTCATTCCATATATTCAGACTTTCATTAAATATATTCAGACTTTCATTCCATATATTCAGACTTTCATTCCATATATTCAGACTTTCATTCCATATATTCAGACTTTCATTAAATATATTCAGACTTTCATTCCATATATTCAGACTTTCATTAAATATATTCAGACTTTCATTCCATATATTCAGACTTTCATTCCATATATTCAGACTTTCATTCCATATATTCAGACTTTCATTAAATATATTCAGACTTTCATTCCATATATTCAGACTTTCATTCCATATATTCAGACTTTCATTCCATATATTCAGACAAACAAACTTCATATATATATGTATTATTTCCTAAACGGCATGCCATATTATATATATAAAATGTGTGTAATTCAGTGAAAGCAAAATCATAATTTTGGACTGTGGTGTCTCACTTTAAGTAATGCAAAAAAATAAAATAAAATCTTACTTCATTTGAAAAGGGTTGTCACTTGGGATACTTCTTGTACTGACTGTTTCAGTTTCACACCATTGGTTGTTATATTGTGGTGCATTGTTGCTCCAGTCAACTACGCCTCTCTCACTTGTGGTATTATAGCCACAGTTGCCGGTGTAACAAAACCAGTTGAGAGAGTTCTGACAGTCATCAAAGGTTGCCCTGTTGCGAAGGTCAACCTGTGGAAAAAGATCAGATTAAGTAACTGTACAGCTAGAGATGGTTCTTCTGAAGCTATAGGACATTTTTGTTAGTATATTTTGTAAACACACAAGTTGATATCGATCTATAATTCTTTCTATAATGTTATAATATATCAATGAAGTCACTCATTGGATCTTGAGATGACTAAGAAAAGAACAACAGAATAAAATCCATAGTAATATTATGCATGGGGGGCTGTCTAAAATACATTCAAAAGATCATCCAATTTCATAAAGCATTAGCAAGATGTCATCTAGTTCCTTCTACAATGTAAAAGGTAAATTTCTTTTTTCTGTGACCAGACTATATGTTGTCTTGCAACCATGTACTGATCAAAGAAAGTTACAAGTTTTTACAATCTAATATAATTTAGGGTGTCCTCAAGTTTACTTAATGTAACTATTGAGTCTTGATTCTGAGAAACTATTAAGCTTCCTGGAGTTAAAATGCAAAATTGAGAATAATTTAAACTTTTAGTGAACACCCTGGATGCTGCTGAGAGAATCAGGAGCACCCGTGAAAGCAATCCATATAATTTTACATCCATCCCAAAATCACTTCTTACTCTCAGAAGTAAAGAAATTTGGATGAACAGTTTCTGTACAAATAACCCCCAAGCAAAATAAAAAATCAAAATAACATGATGTATTTTTAGGTTCCTAAGCAGCACGCCAGCATCATCAGTATCAGAGGAAGTTTTACTAGTTCAGAAAGGGAGATATTTATCAATAAAACTATGACAAAGTAATAATAACAATTTTACATTTTATTAAAAAAATGATTTAAAAAAATCGTGGTAACAGATTTTAACATAGTAAAAAGTGAAACTAATTTAAACATAAATGCTGTGTTTTATCAAAATTTTCAAACCAAAATAAATGAACAACAACATTAATGATAACTTAAGCCACGTTTTCTGTAATGCATTTTGCAAATCATTTAAAGTTTTTTTCAATTACTAAGATGCAATGCTCAAAACTGAAGCCACTTTTTTCAAAACTCTTCACACAGTCTGCATTACCAACATGCATCCTGGCCAAACAGTTAATCTCACCTCTAAAAGTCACTGAAACCACCAAAACACTTCATACAAGCTTCAAAATAAACTCGTTCAACCAAAACACTGGCAACAGTTCTCACTCAGAAAGCAAATATTGTCACTCATAACACACTGACCTACAAAACACTAACAACAGGGAGATTTGATGAACTTTTATCTTTGAAATGTGAATGATTTTTTCATATAAATAAATAAAAGCACAAAGAGACAGGGTGGCTGAGACATGAATGAGCCCATAAAACACAACCTAGCTGACACCCCGGGCTCTTAGTGTGTTAGTATTTGAATATAATGCTGCAAATATCCAGTGTTATGCAGGTGGTGAAGTAGTAATGAGAAAAGAGTTCATGGATTTTGGAGAAAGTGGTCATTGAATGCATTTCGTGTGAAAGCAGTGACTTCAAATTCAGTTTTGACCAATGCAGGTTAGCAATTTAATGAAACTGTAAAGTTATATTTCTTACCCGAAATGTTCCATCGGGGTTTCTTCCTTTGTAGGTGTAGGTCACGGTTCCCCCAAAGTAAGATGATGCGGATGAGAGTGAGACCAGGAGCAGCTGAAGCAGAAGCACCAGTGTGGAAGCCATGATGCTCCAAACTCACCTGTTTCTCAAGGTTCTCTGCGACTCACATCCACCTGCAGCATCTTTATATACACTTGGAGGCTGACCCGACAAGCTGGTGACAGTCCTGGTGACTTTAATGGTATGCACACTTTGTTTCAGAACAATAGGCCAGCTGCAAAACTGGTTTCATTGAACAAATAGTAAGGAGTGAAAACATTTTGCATCGAGACATACTTTTGTATTGTATTTCGCTTTGCTTTGTCCACTGTTGTTTTGTATTTGAATCTGCAGTTAGCAGTTAAGCCTTTAAGGCCCTTCAAAGTGCAATGACACATTAGGCATTCCTTGGAGTGCAGGATATGAATAAATAGTTTAATTTAATTAAATGCAGGCATGACAGACGATGTACATCTTTATTTCAAACTTAGCTTCAAAAGGTCAGGTCTGTTTTGCTGTAGCAACTACTTGCAGAAGCTGGTTGCGCTGCTTCCTCCTACCTCTCATGTTGATCTTTCTCATTACCTAAACAGTCCTCATTCGTCTTCTTATGATAATAGTTTGCTCTCATCAACACAGTTTTGTTTTCTGTAATCTTGTGAGGGCTTTATTGTGCTCTCTGCAGAGTTTTTAACTCATTGTGCAGCATCTGTGTGACCATTATCAAAGGCTAAAGTGTTCATATATAAACATATATTGCTCAGGAATATATCATTTTAAGTACAAGCTTACCCAATACCAAAACTATGGATGTTTTTTGTGTTATTTACAAATGCTTGCACACATGTCAGAAATGAAGATATCATTTTCAAAACCTTAAATAATGTATACAGCCATTACTTCTGCTGCAATAGCAGCTCAAAATCTATACTGAAACAGCTGATAAGCACTTCTGAATGAACTTATCATTGATACATCGAGAAATAGCTCATTTATTGTAATTTGGTTAAAATAGATCAACCACAGCTAATTCCAATCTCAACCAGAGACATAGGCAGGTGTTGAAGTTATTTCAATTACATACACAATGCACTAAAAAGGGGACTTTCTTCTGACATTAGATGTGATGTGGATGAGAACATGTGGTCAAAGGCTGAAAATAATAGGGATTAGAACAGGACAGGCATTTTTGTTTCTATCCCTTCTGTGCAATTGTTTTTTGTTTCAATGTAATTGTGTGTTTACATTTAGTCATGTGCAGATGCTTTTATCCAAAGCGACTTACATTTGAGTAAGAGATCTACAAGTGACAATAAACACTAGTAAGAGCTATTAGCACGCCCAGCATCAATAACGTAAATACCAAGGGAAAGAAATAAGAGTTAACGAATAGTGCAATCAATACAAGAGAATTGTAAGGAGATAGAAGAAGAAGAGCACAGGAAGTGCAGAGATTAGGAGTTAGAGGTGTTATAAGAGGAAGCGTTCTCGAAAGAGATGAGTTTTCAAGAGCTTTTTGAAGTTAGAAAGGGACGCCCCTGCTCTGATGGCCTGTGGTAGTTTGTTCCACCATCGTGAGAACAGCTGGGACTGGGATTGCTTTGTGTGAAGGGATGGCAGAGCCAGGCGGCGTTCGTTGGAGGAGCGTAGCGGCCAAGAAGGAACATTAACGTATTTAACAATATCTTTACACATTTTGAACCAAAAGCCACATAGGTTGGATTATTTGTTGATCACTGGTTGCTAATAAAGGTTTTACTTCTGTAATTCTGTCACTTACATTTTTTCCTAATCTACATTTTTTAAAGTAAAGATGATCATTAAATTTTACATAGTTTGTTGGCAAAAATGCAAACATTTGACCCTCAAGCCAAAAATGTAGGGTGGTTTACAGTAAAAGGAAACTGAATTGGATGGATTTCACACTGTATGCAGGTAGAGCTGAAATATGAAAAGTACTACAGTTTCACCATCGACTCTTTGTATTTACTGTAGATTGTCGTGCTATGATTGATTGATCTGTTCCTAGTATTTTGACAGAATGATTCGATTTTGAGTCAGGTTTGCTGTGTTTTGTGCTTGCAATTTACAGTACTGTAAATCTAAAGATGAAGCATAGTACATATCCTCCAGACGACCCAGTTTTCTTGCCAGAAAGTGCGAATGATTCAATTGACAGTTGATTTTTTTAGATTTGGCTCAACTAATCTGGCATAGTAAGGCCTCGGTTCACCACGTGATCAACGACTTCATTAGAGACAACAGTTCTGCCTCTCTGTCTCTGACGACCAACCACGACAAACCAATTTTAAAATCTTTAGGTTTACCAAATGTTTCAGTGATTAACCATTAAGATGAGTTGGATTAAGTGTTGGTCAAATGTGTTTATGCAAATCAGAAGAGAAGCATATAAAAAGTATTGTGAGCATTGCATTGTGAAAGACAATTGCTTCATTTGAAAGGTATTTCTTTGATGTCACACTGATTATGTGTGGTGAAAAGGTTGCTGTGTAATTTTGTATGCTGTATTTAGTCAATTGAATTTGAGATTACATGTTTGATGATCTGCTGTGAGTTTTGTACAAAGAGTAGTAAAATTTTATCACATACTTGCGATAATAGTACCAAAGCGATCAAAAAAAACAACAACAAGAGGAGAGATAAAAAGGAGAAGCAGGAAGATGGTTTAGTGACTGAAAGAAAAAGTGACTCTAAAAGAAAAATCTAACAGGGAAATGTTTGATTCAGTGATTTCTTTGATGGGTAATTTCTAAAAGTATATATAAAATAAAAAATAATAAAAAGTCTGATAAAAGCACTGTACACTACCTGCTCAGCACCAAAGAGCAACGGACAAAGTTAGAGACTCGCTGGTGACATAGTGGAGCATTTGGCAGCTAAAGAGCCAAGTATTTCTCAGGATAATCAATCCATCCATCATCTTATTCTTATTATGTCTTTCAGTAGTATTTATAGAAATGGCCATGGTGCAATGCAACATGACACTGATGCAAATTACTCCTAATTTTCAATAATAATCTACAATAGACATTCCAGCATGCACAGTACTACTCTGATCTGAAGTTTAATACCTATTAATACCTGAAGACGAACATGGTTGCTTTCCAGCTGTGTTATTTTGGCACAAATAGTCATAACTTCTAAATAGAAAAAAAAATGTACTGGAGACAGTGAAAAGCTGAGGGACAGTTTTGATAATTTAATCAACACGACTACATGATAATTGTGACTGTTAATAATTGCGGATCTGCTTTGGCACAATCCATTTACTAAACTTGTTACTTAATTCAACCACAGAGAGTCGCAAGTCAGATTTTTAAGAAACACCAGTTTTTTAATTACTGTTCTAATAGCTGCAAAGCACGGAAGCCCTAAGCAGCCATCGATTCCAGTGATAATGGGATAATTATCTCGTGATCTTGAGAAAACAAACCATAGCTGAATACAGGGATATTGGGATATACAGTTCCCTCCAAAAGTATTGGAACGGGAAGGCAAATTCACAAGACATTTGGGTTTAAGTTTAAAAGATGAGTATGAGACAAGGGTTCAGAATTTCAGCTCTCATTTCCTGGTATTTACATCTAGATGTGTTAAACAACTCAACATACCACCGTTTATTTGAACCCACCCATTTTTTAAGTGAGCAAAACTGTTGGACCATGTGGCTGTCAGATGTTTCTTGTAGCCCAGGTGTTGCCTTTTAGGCTGATTGTCCAAACATTAAATAGCTCTGCATGACTAGTCTAAGTTTTCATCCTTGGTTCAAACTTATAAAGACTCCATTTCCTGTTAAAGAGGATAAACCAACATGAAGACCAGAGAGCTGTCTATGGGAGAAAAGCAAGCCACTGTCAAGCTGAGAAAAGAAGGAAAATCGAGCAGAGCCATTGGACAAACATTGGGCAGAGCAAGCACAACAATTTGGAACGTCCTGAAAAAGAAAGAAACTACTGGTGTACTGAGCAACAGACGTCCAACAGGTCGGCCAAGGAAAACAACAGTAGCTGATGACAGAAATATGGTGAGAGCTGTGAAGAAAACCCCCAAAACATCAGGAAGTGACATCACCAACGACCTCCACAGTGCAGGGGTGAAGGTATCACAATCCACTGCTGGAAGAAGACTCAGCAGAAATATATAGAGGCCACACCACAAGATGCAAACCACTCATCAGCAGGAAGAATAAGAAGGCCAGATTGAAATTTGCTAACAAGTACAGAGATGAGCCGCAAAAGTTCTGCAACACAATCTGATGGACTGATGAGACCGAGATTAATCTCTAGCAAAGTGATGGAGATTAATCTCTAGCAAAGTGATGGAAAGGCCAAAGTGTGAACTGCTTATGATCCGAAGCACAAGCTCATCTGTGAAGCACGGTGGAGGTGATGTCATGGCCTGGGCGTGCATGGCTGCTTCTGGAACATTAATATTTATTGATGATGTGACTGATGATGGTCGCAGCAGAATGAATTCAGAAGTGGACAGAAACATTTTGTCTGCCAGAGAAATGCATTGAAACTAATGGGGAGGAAGTTGATCGTGCAGCAGGACAATGACCCAAAGCACACTGCCAACAAAACAAAGGACTTCATCAGGGGGGAAGGTGGAAGGTTTTAGACTGACCAAGTTAATCAGCTGACCTGAACCCAACAGAGCTGCATTTCACCTCCTTAAGAGGAGACTGGAGGGAGAAACACCCCGAAACAAACAAGAACTGAAAGAAGCTGCAGTAAAAGGCTGGAATAGCATCACAAATGAAGAATGCAACAGTTTGGTGATGTCGATGGGTCGCAGGCTTGAGGCAGTTATTGCAAGCAAGGGTTCTGCCACCAAATGTTTAATGTTATTTACTTTAAGATTATTTGTTCCTTTACTTTTGCTCACCTAAGAATGCTGTGGTCTAATACAAACGGTGGTTTGTCCTGAGTTGTTTAACACATCCAGATGTGAATACCAAGAAATAAAAGCTGAAATTCTGAATTCTTGTCTCATCTTTTGATCTTGAACCTTTGATCTTAAAGCCTTACCGTTCGACAGTATACTGAATATTTCAAAGGTTCCAAAAATAGCCATCAGGAAATGTGTAACGTTAAATGGATTCCCCTGAATGAGAAGTGCAGGAATTTCTTATGGGTTAAAATGAAATGTCCATAGTTTGATGGATG